CATCCCCGGGTCAGCCCCGGGTCAGCCCGGGGACAGCCCTGGGATAGCCCCGGAGCATCCCTGGGATAGCCCCGGGTCAGCCCCAGGGCAGTCCCGGGACAGCCTCGGGACAGTCTCGGGGCAGCCCCAGTACTAATACAAACCCTGCCAAGAATGTGACGAAACTCGTAGCCAAATATGGGATGGGATTCAAGATCTTCAAGAATTGATAAAAACCGCGACTCGTTGCTTAGCAAAGCAAGAACCTTGGTATGGTGAAGACGCCACAAACGAGTATGGGAATTCGTTTGATAAGTCATGTTTGAACGCCACAGGGAAACCTTGATAAGTTCAGAATAGTTTCTTCAAGAACACAAGAAGAATATCTCACAATGTGAATAAAAATATCAAAACTTCTTATTAAATTCGTATTTCAACCTTAAATAGCCGAAAATAAGATAAAGATAGTCAAAATTGTAAAAGTTCTATTCTACCCTTAATGAGGTAGGCGCTTAAATAAAGATAAACACCTAAAGATAAGATAAAACACGCCTAAAGCTAATCGTAGGGAAGGAATCCGAATTTGAGTCTATCCCCTTCCTTTTAATTGCCGAATATGAAATTTAAATGTTTAAAACTAAAGCCTAACTCTAAAAAGATAGAATGATAATAAAATCAAGTCTTTATCCGCAATTTGACTTGATCCCTTGTGAAAATTGTGCCTAATCCTCTTGGTGTTGCGCTTAAGCCTCTAGGTCTTGCCCTTGCACGTGTGTCTTGGAATGACATGCGAATTGGCCATGTAATGGCTTAATGGATGTGTATGTCTGAATGGATTTCTTCCGGATCGACTTCGATTGAGTATTCCTTGTATCCCTAATGTTCTCATCACGGTGCACCCCCGGGACACCCCCGGGGCACCACCGGAGCACCCCCGGGGCACCCCCGGGGCACCCCTGGGCATCCCCGGGGCACCCTCGGGACACCCCCGAGGCACCCCCGGGAGTCCCCCGGGGCACCCCGGGACACCCCCGGGGCTAATGAGGACATGAGGGAAGCAAGGAATACTCACGATCCATCTTCGGATAAACACTTGATTTCGTCAAAATCTTATCTTTTAGATTTAAGTTTAAATTTAAACATTTAAATCCCATTGTATGCATTTAGAAGGAGTTGGAGTCAAATTCAGATTCCTTCCCAAGGATAAGCTTTTAGGCGTGTTTTATCTTGTTTTTAGGTTTATCCTCATTTAGGCATTTCTATCTCATTAAGGGTAGAATACGACTTTTACAATTTTTAAACTCTTCATGTTATTTTTGGCTCTTTAAGGCTGAAATTCGATTAATAAAATAGTTTTGATGTTTTATTCACATTGTGAGATATTCTTCTTGAGTTCTTGAAGAAACTATTCTGAACTTATCAAGGTTTCCATACTCATTTGTGGCGTCTTCACCATACCAAGGTTCTTGTTTTGCTAAGCAACGGGTCACGGTTTCTATCAATTCTTGAAGATCTTGAATCGTAATCCCATATTTGGTTACGGGTTTCATCACGGTGTTGGCGTGGTTCGTAACAGGAGCACCCCCAGTGCACCCACGGGGCACCCCCAGTGCACCCCAGGGGCACCCCCGGGAGACCCCCGGGAGTCCCCCGGGTGACCCCCGCGAGACCCCAGGGACACCCCCGGGGCAGCCCGGGACACCCCTAGGACACAACCGGGAGACCCCCGGGGCACCCCCAGGGCACCCACGGGACACACCCGGCGCACCCACGGGGCACACCCCGGGGCACCCCCGGGCCACCCCTGGGGCACCCCTAGGGCACACCCAGGGCATCCCCGGGGCTCCCCGGTGCACCCCCGGGGCACCGCCGGGACACCCCTGGGGCACTGCCGGGACACCCCTAGGGCTCCCCCAGGACACCCCCGGGATACCCCCGGAGCACCACCGGGGCACCCCTGGGACACCCCCGGGACACCCCCGGGACATCCCCGGGACACCCCGTGGCACCGCCAGGAGACCCCCGGGGCACCCCCGGGACACCCCCGGGGCACCGACGGGGCACCCCCGGGAGACCCCCGGGACACCCCCAGGGCACCCCCGGGAGACCCCCGGGACACCCCAAGGAGACCCCCGGGTGAAGCCCGGGAGACCCCCGGGGCATCCCCGGGCCACTCCCGGGAGACCCCCGGGGCACCCCCGGGACACCCACGAGGCACCCCCAGGGCACCCCCGGGAGACCCCCGGGGCACCCCCAGTGTGATACGACCCCGCCAATAATGTGACGAAACCTGTAGCCAAATATGGGATACGATCCAAGATCTTCAAGAATTGATGGAAACTGTGACCCATTGCTTAGCAAAGCAAGAACCTTGGTATGGTGAAGACGCCACAACGAGTATGGAAATTCGTTTGATAAGTCAAGTTTGAACGTCACAAGGAAACCTTGATAAGTTCATAATAGTCTCTTCAAGAACACAAGAAGAATAACTCACAATATGAATAAAAATATCAAAACCTTTATTAATTTTTATTTTTCAACCTTAAATAGCCGAGTATAAGCTGAAAAGGTTTAAAAATTGAAAAGTCATATTCTATCCTTAATGAGATAGAAGCCTAAAATAAGATAAACCTAAAAACAAGATAAACGCAAGCCTAAAGCTTATCTTAGGGAAGGAATCCGAATTTAACTCCAACTCCTTCCTTCTAAATGCCTAAAGATAATCTCTTAGGGAAGGAATCCGAATTTGAATCTAACTCCTTCCTTAAAAATGCCTATTATGTAATATAAATGTTTAAATTGAAACTTAAACCTAAAAAGATAGGATTATGATAAAGACAAGTCTTAATCTGCAATTTGACTTGGTCCCTTGCTGGAAATTGTGCCTAAGTCTCTTGGAATATGCAAGTTGGCCATGCAATGGCTTGATGGACGTTTAAATTGATTGTCTTTCTTCCGGATTGAGGGCACCCCCGGGGCACCCCCGGGGCTCCCCCGGGGCTCCGTCGGGACACCCCCAGGAGACCCCCGAGACACCCCTGGGGCATCCCCTGGACACCCCCAGGAGACCCCCGGCCGACCCCCGGGGCACCCCCGGGCCACCCCCGGGGCACGCCTGATACGAACCCCGCCAACAACGTAACGAAACCCGTAACCAAATATGGGATTACGATTCAAGATCTTCAAGAATTGATGGAAACCGCGACACGTTGCTTGGCAAAGTAAGAACCTTTGTATGGTGAAGACGCCACAAACGAGTATGAAAAATCCGTTTGATAAGTGAAGTTGAACGCGACAAGAAAACCTTAATAAGTTCGGATTTGTTATTTTCTCTCCATATTTTATTTTTTGCATTGTTTTACTTTGTCTTAGATTACATCCACACGCTTGAATTATTTTTATTGCAAATTATGTCTTAATTTAGGATCTAATTGTAGTGTTGCTTTGTTTTTCTAATTTTTGAATGACAAGATAATTTAATTAGGGTCACATAATACAATTTTATTTTAGATTTATTCTTATGTTTTTGTATTCTTTAAAAGATGTTTAAGCACCTTATAATTATTCATTATTCTTTTCACATATTATGTACGGATGTTGAAATCGGTCAGTTATAGTTTTGATTTTCTTTGTTTCGATTATAAGCGTTGAGTTTTAATTAGCTTTCGTAGTGATCAAGGTATCGTATGAACCTTCTTCGCCATCGCTGGTCGAGCTTTTTATTGAGAATGGCGGAAGAGATGACCAAATCCGCCGACCTTGGATCCTCTACAACATCTGCAACTAAGTCCAGATCGCTCTGGCCTTCTGTCCTCCGTTGGATCCCCACCTCCACCGATCACATCATCGCGGCCGAAAAGCGCCTTCTTTCTCTAGTCAAGTAATTTCTTTTCTGTTAGAACCCTAAATTGAATTTTGTTGCCGAGTTTTTAATTGGAAATCGCTGAAATAGAGACTTCCGGATTTTGTTCGTTGCGGCGGTTGAAATTGGCCGTTGGTTAGTTTCTAGGTTTCTTGGAATTCCATAAGATTTTTCGTTTGAATTCTGAATTTCAAATTTCTTTCCCCCTTTTTTGGATTTGAACCGTCCAATTGGTTTGGTTAAGTTCACAACCCTACTTTCTTTATTTGCTTGAGTTGGCAACTTGACGTTACTTTCTTCCTTGGTTTGGGTTGAAATCTGTATTTTCCAATTAAACATGGGCTTTGGAAATATGTATACCTGTTTTGAATTCCATTCATTTAGGTGTTTTGATGACTTGAAATTGAGGCGTCTCATTTGGATGTATGTGTGGATTGCCTTTTCAATATCAGGACTCCCTATGTTCAAGAACAGGTTAATATAGGCTCCGGCCCACCGGGTTCCAAAATGAGGTGGTTTCGATCTTCGAGCAGTGCGCCAAGGTTCATCAACACTGTCACATTTGACAGTAAGGGCGATTCTCCGACTCTTGTGATGGTCCATGGATACGCTGCTTCTCAAGGCTTCTTCTTTAGGAATTTTGATGTTCTTGCAAGTCGTTTCAGAGTCATTGCGATTGATCAGCTTGGGTGAGCTTCACGGGTCTTAATATACTATGTTTTTGTAATAATGTTCCGTTGAATTTGTTTGTTTGTGTGTGTGTGTGTGGATGTTTTGCTCCTTCTTCAATGAAAATGGATGCTTTTTCTGCATCATTGTAACTTTCTCTTGGACTTTCCCGATTTTATAAAATATTTAACGTAATTCTTTCTGCTTGAGGTTTTGCACACACACATTTACATGTATATATATATATATATATATATATATGGTGTGCGTTGATGTGTAAAGCGGTCTAGTATTAAGAAATTCTTTCGAAGTTTCTCGGGCTATATTACATTTAAGAAGATGGTAACTGTTTAACTAGTATTTAAGGTCTTGGGAACTGTTTAACTAGTACTTGTTGTGTATAATGCTTTATAATTTCAATATTTCTATTTTTTTCATTGTGCTTCGGGTTTTAGACTCTTAGTCTTGTTTGTTTAAATTTCTTGCAGTTGGGGTGGATCAAGTAGGCCTGACTTCACATGCAAAACCACTGAAGGTAGTTTTATGCCATCTTTAGATATTAACGTAGATGAAACGTGTGTTGATATTCTTTTCTTGTTAACCTGTGTGGATGAGATAGTTATATATTTTATTCACATTGTAACCTGTAAGCTTGCAACTAAATGCAGAAACCGAGGCATGGTTCATTGATTCCTTTGAAGAATGGCGAAAAGCCAAGAACCTCACCAACTTTATATTACTTGGACATTCATTTGGAGGATATGTTGCAGCAAAGTATACTCTTAAGGTGATTGCTTTCTGCTACCGACTTTTTATTCGGACTATAATGGTGCTGTTATCTAATCTCTGTCTCATTGTTATCTTCGTAATAGCATCCAGAGCACATTAAGCACTTGATTTTAGTTGGACCTGCTGGCTTCTCATCCGAATCTGATGGAAAATCAGAGTGGCTTACTCGGTTTAGAGCAACATTGAAAGGAGCCCTTGCAAGCCATTTGTGGGAGTCTAATTTTACTCCTCAGAAGCTCATCAGGTGTCCCTTTTTATTTTCTTTTTGATTTGAAATACCTTCTGTGAAATGTTTTTGAAAAAGCATGTCCAGTAGAAACGTTGAAACTTCTAAATTTTCTTTTCATCTGATTCCTTGTTATATTGGGCTTCTATTTTTCTGTGGACATTACATGCGTGCTTATGGATTTAAGACGCTACTGGCTGTTGCTCACATATAACTGGCAGAAATGTGTGTGCATGTTTATGTTTGTGCTTCATTTTTAGAAATCTTAGAAACTCGTCTCCTGGCATCATCTCCTAACCTAGTTCCAGCATCTATTTACTTTTATGCTTCCACATATTGGTTCCTCTGTTATCTGTAATTAATATTTGTGTCCACCTCCTTTCTCTCCACCCGTGATCCGATGAAGTTGAAGGCATGCACTAGAGTCATCTCTTACTTTGTTTACCAAGTTCCAAAAAATTGTGCTGACAACTGTTTTCACTCCATGATATTTGGAGTCAAATAGTACCAGTTGCCTTAATCATTTAGGGTTCGTTTGGTACGAGAATTCAAACCAGAGTGATTCTAATCATGATTTTGGAACCAGAACTATGATTCATGATTTTGGGTTCAAATCATGATTTTGAAACCATGTGTTAAGCCCCCGGTGAGGCAAGTATATGTGAGAAGGGCCAGGAAGGGAAAAGGGGAGGGCCCAGAACTGATCGAAGTGGACCCAGGACTAGGCTAAATGAAGTGGGCCAGCGGAGAAGTGGGAAGCCCACTTGGGGAACTGGGAACAGACGGTTAGAGCCTGGGGGATATTAGGGGAGATCGTGGGAGTGGAGAGGGTGTGAATTCTATGCATGAGTAACTGCTAAGGAGTTTAGGGATTACTCAAAAATCCACCATTATCTTATTTCCTATTTTCCAGTTTTCTGTTTCGTTCTTCTTCTTCCATCTTGAATTCTAGGGCCTTTTCCGAGCCTTGAGTTGTAATAATCGATTGAAAGCAATAAAAACACGTTGAGTTGGATCTAGGAAATATCAATCTGTTGACAAGTTCTTAGTTAAACTTCTAGGATCCTATCATTTGGTATCAGAGCCGACGATCCATGGCTCATACATCGCCGGCGGTTAGTAACCCAGGACGCGTCTCCAGCTTGGAAGGAAGCCTCGAGTCGATCAGAGAAACCATTCAGCTGATGGGGGCGATCATGGACCACATACCGCAGTTGCAGGAGGATGTTTTGGCATTGGGGGCCCAGATTGGCGACGTCCAAGGGGCTCTTCACCGACTGGAGACCTTGATTGGCCGCAGAGTGGAGACCCAACCCCCAGCTCCCCCGCGACGGGAGCAAGGACGAGACCGTGACCGGCAGGGGATGGCTGATTCGCCAGACAGGGGCCGCGGAAGAATGGACCCATCAGGGAAGACGACTCGAGCTTCCGATCTTCCAAGGGGAAGATCCGTACGGCTGGGTATTCCGGGCGGAGCGCTACTTCACCATTAATGGCGCCGAGGAGGAGAAGGTTATGGCGGCCTCGGTATGCATGGAAGGCAGGGCGCTCGGCTGGTTTCAGTGGCTGGACTCACAAGACCCGTTCACCGACTGGCGAGATTTGAAGGCAGCAATTCTTTACCGCTTCAGCCGCGCGAAGGACGGCGACCCGACGGAGCGGCTAATGGCGCTGCGGCAGGACAGCTCGGTGACGGAATTCCGCGACCGGTTTGAAGCGTTGGCTGCATCCATGCGAGGTATTCCTGAGCCCATCTTTAGGGGGGCCTTTCTTAATGGGCTTCGAGAGGATGTACGGGCCGAGGTTAAACTACACCGGCCCATAAACCTCCAGGAGACCATGGATCTGGCCCAACAGATCGAGGAACGGAATGAGGCCGTAGATAGGTTACGGAAGGGGAGGTTGGGTCGAGGATGGAGAATGGATGGGTTGGGAAAGGAACTGGGGGTGAATGACCGAGCCTATTCCCCTTAGGGAATTCAAGGAACTCCCTTCAGTCCAACCAGGGAAAAGAGCAGAGCCTTTCCCAAAAGCCTCGGGGTTGGTCACCGCATACCGCGGGAGTGTCAGAGGGAGGAGGGGCAGGCTTCAAACGCCTGACTGAAGAAGAGATCCAACGGCGGAGGGCGAAGGGGTTGTGTTTCGGTGTGATGAGAAATTCGGTCCGGGTCACCGATGTAAGAATCGGCAATTGCAGGTGCTGTTGTTGGCAAAGGAGGACGGGGAAGGAGACGAGGAGTTGGTGGAGGAAGAGGAGCCTACAACCGAGGAAATAGAGGGAGTGGCTGGTCTGTCGCTGAACTCGTTGATAGGGATTTCATCCTCCAACACCATGAAGCTGGTGGGGACTCTAGGGGACCGAGAAGTGGTGGTGTTAGTAGATAGCGGCGCCTCCCACAATATTCTGTCAAAAAGGTTCATGAGCGAGATGCAGATTCCGATGACAGCCACAGGGGGATAGCTTGCTTTCGACAGCAGGGACTGTGTAAGGGTGTGGAACTGCGGATCCAGGGATACAAGGTTATTGGGGATTTTGTCCCGTTTGAGTTGGGGTGCGCCGAGGTAGTACTGGGGGTGACTTGGCTGCGAACGCTAGGGGAAGTAAGGGCAGATTGGCAGAAATTCACAATGAAGTTCCAAGCGGAAGAAGGCTGGACTTGCCTGAAGGGGGACCCGACCCTAAGCTTGAAACCGGTAAGTTTTCGCACTCTGACTCGTAAGTTCCATAGAGAAGTAGTAGGGGCCTTGTTGGAAATATATTCACTAGCAGGAGAGGAGGGGAGCGATCCTGAGGACAGTGGGCCGGACTCCATTCAGGGGGTCTTGGCTCAGTTTCTTGAGGTGTTCGAGGCCCCTGCGGGGTTGCCTCCCAAGCGTGGAAGGGACCACCAGATAGTGCTCAAACCGGGGGCAGAACCGCCTAACATTAGGCCGTTCCGGTATCCCCAAGCACATAAAAGTTAGATTGAGAGGCTGGTCGCAGAGATGTTGTCCTCGGGAATTATTAGGCCGAGTAGTAGCCCTTTTTCAAGCCCGGTTCTATTAGTCAGGAAAAAAGACGGAAGTTGGCGTTTTTGCATCGACTACCGAGCTCTCAACCAGCTCACGGTGCCGGACAAGTTTCCGATCCCCATCATCGACGAGCTGCTGGACGAGTTGCATGGGGCTGCCGTGTTCTCCAAGTTGGACCTAAGGGCAGGGTACCATCAAATTCGAGTTAAGGAGTTTGATGTGGAGAATACAGCGTTCCAAACGCACGAAGGACACTATGAATTTCTGGTCATGCCGTTCGGCCTGACCAACGCGCCTGCCACCTTCCAGGCCCTCATGAACAAGGTCTTCCAGCCATACTTGCGGAGGTTCGTGTTAGTATTTTTCGACAATATTCTGGTGTATAGCTGGACATGGGAAGACCATCAGGAGCATCTCGCCACGGTTTTAGAAGTTTTGAGGAGGGAACGGTTGTTTGCCAACCGTAAGAAGTGTTCCTTTGGGCAGCAACGGTTAGAGTATTTAGGCCATGTCATCTTAGCAGCCGGGGTAGTAGCCGATCCGGCCAAGGTGGAAGTGATATTGACATGGCCCATACCAAAAAACGTCTGCGGGGGTTCGGGGATTTCTGGGGCTGGCAGGATATTACCGAAGGTTCGTTCAAAATTTTGGGCGGTTGGCACGACCATTGACCGACCTACTCAAGCGGGGGGAGTTCAAATGGACTGAGGACGCCACAGCCGCCTTTGTGGCACTCCAGCAAGCAATGACTAACCTTCCCATTTTGGCAATGCCAGATTTTGCAAAACCATTCGTGGTGGAAACGGACGCCTCGGGCTCTGGCCTAGGGGCAGTGTTGATGTAGCAAGGTCGGCCGATTGCCTATTTCAGCAAGGCACTATCAGGCAATACCCGGTTCCGTTCGGTGTATGAACACGAACTCATGGCAGTGGTCTTGGCGGTATAGAAATGGCGCCATTATTTGCTCGGGAGACACTTCATGGTGCGGACTGACCAGCAGAGCCTGCGGTTCCTGATGGACCAGCGGCTTTTACCTCCGGAGCACCTTCGCTGGGCCATTAAGCTTTTTGGATACGATTTTGAGTTGCAATACAAACAATGGGCAGCGAACCATGTGGCGGATGCCTTGTCCCGGCGCGAGGAATACTCCGACATGAGTTTAGCCGCGTTGTCCGTTCCACAAGTCTTGAATTGGGATGAGATTCGGCAGGACCAGCTGCATGATGAGGACTGTGAGGTATTGATCAGGAAGTTGGAGCAGGGAGAGGGGGTGGTTCCTGGATTTTCACTCCACCAGAACTTGTTGTGCTACCGCGGCAGGGTGGTGTTACCACCACAGTCCCCCTGGATTCGTCAGATGCTTCATGAGTTCCACGACTCGGCTTTGGGGGGACACTCCGGGTTCCTACGCACTTACAAGCGAGTCGCTAGTAACCTATTTTGGCGAGGCATGAAGAGGGATATACGCCAATACGTTGCTGACTGCCCCGTTTGTCAGCGTTCCAAGTCGGACACCCTGGTCCCCGCAGGCTTGCTACAGCCGCTGCCTATCCCAGCGAGGATATGGGAGGACATCTCCATGGACTTCATATGTGGTCTGCCACGGTCACAGGGGGCTGATACCATCCTGGTTGTCGTGGACAGGCTGTCCAAATATGTTCATTTCCTACCTTTGTCTCATCCTTTCACAGCCAAGAAAGTGGCTGAACTGTTTCTGCGAGAGGTGGTGCGGCTCCATGGCATCCCAGCCTCCATTGTCACTGATCGAGACCCACTTTTTATGAGCCTCTTCTGGCGCGAACTGTTCTGTATGCAAGGCACGAAATTGAGCCGCAGTTCGGCGTATCACCCCGAGTCGGATGGGCAAACAGAGGTCATAAATAGGTGCCTGGAAGTGTGTCTACGTTGTTTCGCAAGTGACACGCCCTGTTTGTGGTCGCAATTCTTGCCGTGGGCTGAATTTTGGTTCAACACCAATTTTAATGCGTCAGCTAAGCACTCTCCTT